CTCACCCATCTCAAAGCCCATCAAACTACTCAGCAAGGAACATGCATGAGGATATCAGTGTGGAAAATACCCCCAAAGGAGGAGAAGTAACAGCTCCCTGTTGTGAAGAGCAGCTCCTTGGTCCAGCTCCTCACGAGACCTGGGAACTCCGAGAGCAGCAGGGACACCTGGACCCACCTCGGCTCCCCCTGCGAGAGCAAAGTTGGAGCATCACCTTGAGCACCATTCTGTCAGCTGGAGATTATCTAATGACATGGGTAAAACAGGCCAGGCAAGTTGGAATTTTTATGTAATTTAATTCTTACATAATTTAATTCATCGCTAATTAACACCAACTTCAAACAGTAATTCAGATATTGAGAAAAAAGGCACAGAAACCCTACTGCAAACATCCTCCCTGTCCACTCCCCAGCTCAGCACAAGCCAACCACCTCTCCTCTCCATTTCCCAAGCTTAGCTTCCCTGTTTTTTGCTGTAGGTCGTCCTACTGCCTCCCCCAAGACAGCGAAAAACTCCTCTCCTGGAGCCAACCGAGGCCATAGGCTCTTCACCCCTGAGGTTTTTAGGGGCCTTCAGTTCTGCTGCCTGCAAGGATAAAGGTCTCCCCCAGGAGAAGGACATGAGATCCAAACCCAGGCACAAATCTCTCCTTCCTCTTCCCACATCCTGAAGATCTCCTTTTCCATAACTAGGCAGCAATCTCCTGATGAGCACATCAGAGCCCCTCTGCAGGGACTGTACACAGCTCTGGGGACCATGGAGGAAGGGAGAAGTGCATCAGTGTCCTGAAGCCAGGTGAGCAGATCTATCCCAAAACACTACTGGGCCAAGAAAACAATCCAGTAAATCAAACAGCCTCAGAGTTCCAGACTAAAGGACACAATGTCTCCCAAAAGCCACCACTGGACAGTATTTGGGATTTTTTGTGAAGTGCCATTTGCTACTGCTGTAGGGTCATGGCTCCTGCAAAAACCCTAGTGTTCTTGGAGGGTTTCTGCTTGCCAGCATTGCATTCAGGCTGAGACCAACAAGAGTATCCTTGAGAAATTCTCCAAAAACCGTTAACTCTGGGAGGAGACACCAGACCCGCATCCCCCCGAGAATCACTGCAAGCGCCCAGGATCTCAGCCCAGGGCTCTGCCAGGCCAGCTCGCTGCTAGGCAGCCTTGGCTGGAACCAGCAGCTTGGAAAGATGCCAGCCTGCTTCCGAAACTTCAGCTCGCCCTGGAGCCTCCCCCACCACACTCACAGCAGAGCAAGGATGTTTTCTCAGCCTGGTAATGAGACAATAGCCTTCCTCGATTTTCTGATCCACTTTCAAAAGCTGCAGGAACTCAAAATGAGTTGTCCAGACCTTTCAGTTTAGAAATAGCTCACTAAATAGACAAGTTATTTCATATAACGTGTCTTTTCCTTTCATTACTCCTCCATGCCAGAAGTGGATCCTCTGTACCCTTCTCGCCAACATGCAGAGAGCTGGGCACGAGCATCCTGAGGCTAGTACTGTAAGATAATACAAAGAACAAACCTCCCAAACCTCAGAGGGCACCCCCAGCCACTCCTGTCTTTTGCCCACAGGCACGCGCATCCAGTGCAGCAGCCTCTGAGCTGCACAGAAATCAACCCCTGTGATGATCCAGGCCTTCACCCTGCACAAAGCGGTACAGCTCCAAAGCCAGTCAAGTTTAGCGTTTAGTTCATCCATCAATGCTTCTACTAGACTGAAAAAAAGTTACTGCAAATAAATCACTTACACACTTTCCTGAGATCGGCTCTGGCTGGTATGTTTATGCTCAGCCACTACACCAGTACAAGCTGCATGCTGGGGACACTTTGATCCCCAGCTTGTCATGCCTGGAGACTCTTAACCCTGGAGATCTGACTGTCCAACTGATTTAATAACATGAAGCAACTACGCCAGAGCACCACAGCAGAGCATCTGTCCTGCTAAGCACAGCTGGCAAGTTGCAGGTTGGAAAAACCTCCAGCTGACGTAACAACAAAGGCGTAAATCATGCCATAGCTCTGTGCCACAGGTCACAGCAGAGTGGAGGGCATGGGGGGTATCTGAGGCTGAAGAACTCCTGCAAGCAGTACATTTGCCCAATAGCACCTGAACTTGAAGAGAGCCAACACTATTGCTGGGCTCCTCTTCTGCATACAAGTTTGAGCCCACAAATTCTCAAATCCAGCAGACTTACTCAACCCACCTTATATGCACTGCCTTACGTGGAGGTATAGTTTAAAAATGCAGGCATATTACTTAAGACCATAACTACACACCTGGTATTATCTGTCAGGTCCTATGAGAATGCGTGGGGGCTGCTATATTTACAATTTAATAACACCAGTTGGTTCGTCCTCTTTACCGAGGACCTGCCTACATTGTTTGCTGTGGTCCCAGGGGACTACTCAGCTTTGGAAAGAGCGGTGCGAGCCCAGTTGCCCTGAACCACGCAGAGACCAGGGCAGGGTTCTGGTGGGCTCTGTCAGACATCACGCTGCTGAGCCTGGGATGCAGCATCTCCAGTACCTCCATGCACTGGGAAACGTGCGGTCTGAGCATCTTATTTCCTTGTTTAATTTGCCCACATTAGAATGAAGAAATGAAATAAAACCAGAAAGTTGCTCAACAGAGCTAGAAAAAGCACCATCTAGAGTAAGGACAGGGACAGACATGGCAGCAGCTGCCTTTCGTTTGCTTTCAGATCCCTGCCATGAAGCATTTGGCTTTCTGGATGCCAGCAGCCAATTCAGCTTGAGTTGGAGGTCTCAACTGGGGCTTCTCAATGTATAGACACTGGGGGAAAAAAACAGCCAAAATCTCCAAGTAGTCTGGGTGAAAAGTGACACTGATTTCAAAGGCATCGCATACTTCAATCAACACTTATTTTTACTTCTGTAATCAACCGCGTGCAATCAAGGGAACGGGCTCAGTATCTGCAGGTGCACTTGTGCCCTGTCACTGGGGGAGTCAGGGGCACCAAGAACACTGTCTCCATGCTCAGAGCCAGCCCAGAGGGGCTGCCCTGGAGCAACTCCATGGCACAGGGGGCAAAACACACTAAGGAGTGGGGAGAGCATGTCTCCCTGCATCTCAAGCTTGGCCACACCAGACCACCCAGGCACATGGAGAAACTTCTTTGGAGAAGCACATCCAGCAGCCCCACACAGAGCTGAGCTTTGACAGGCAGCAGTCTCGACGGCCACGATGGATGCGTGGTGAGCCACGCTCCTGCACAAGGGAAGCACTCAAACGTGTCCATACCCAGCATTCCCCCCCGAAAATTTGGTATATAAGCTACACACCAGCAATGCCACTTTTGTGACTAATGCCCCAGAGGTAGGAAGGCACTGTGAGATTTTCCATTACATGGGAAACCACCCAACTTGCCCCCAAAACACAAGCTGCAGGACTGCAGCACCCTGTGCACAGGGGATCAATAGGGCACAGAGTCCCGAGGGCATCTCCTCATCTCCCTCCCGCCTGAGACGTGGCACACGCTCGCTCTCCATGTGGTGCTCAGCTGCACACCAGCAAACCCCAGGGACATGCCGTGCTTGGCCGCACCTGAAGAATCGACCTTCCTCACACCCAGCTCTGCACCAGCACAGCAGAAAACCTGAGGGCAGAAACCAGAGTTTCTGTCCACAATGCCAAAAAAAAAGAGCAGAACAAAGGTCCTGGCTCAGCCGCAAATGTTTCTGCGTTTCCGGAGAAACCGCCCCGTGCTTCAAGCGAGCAGGGAAGAGGCGATGGTCTCCTGTAGCTGCTGAGTGAAGACAGGAGACAGCAACAGCACATCACATCTCACCATCTCAGCAGCAACGCAGAGAGCAGCAGGAGGGGCCCAAGCAACAGACCTCCAACTTCTTTTTAATCTGCAGATATTCAGTAACCTTTACAGAGTACAAGATCCCCAACAACCAGGGAAGAAGGTGAATGGCTATCTTGGTGTTATTTTTTCCCCCCGTGTATTTCCACGTAGACCTGCACCCCTCCAGAAGCAGGAAGGCACCATGTGCAGGTCAGCGGGAGGATTTGAGGACACACACTGCTCAAGCTGGTGACTGTCTGCCCCACCATGAGCCCACACAGAGCAGGAAAGAGCTCAGAGCAGCATCAAGTGCTAGCTGTGTCCTACAAGCTGCTCATAATATCCAAGGAGACATAAGCCACCCAGGCAGAGAGCAATTTTCTTAATTGCAATAATTCTGTTTACATAGAAAACACGGATGCGTGCACCCTATAGCTGGGGCTGGCCTTGCTGCCTCCTGCCATGACCCTGAGCACCCAGACGGCAGTGTGCTCCCAAGGATTTCCAGTCAGCCCAATGCCACCCCTACCCATCCCCAGCACATTCCCCTTACCAATCCACATGCCAGAGGAGCTGACGATCAGCTGTGTGTCTGCCTGCCCAGAGGAGCCCCCTCACCACTGCCTCCTGTCCCCGAGCACAACCGAGATGCCCCCACACCCCTCCCCAGCCTCTGTGTGCCAGAAGGCTCCATCAGCACCACACACACATACACGTTCAACTCCACCTGTGAAGCCGCGTCTTTCTGCCTGTGCAGTCGAGGACTTCGCATGCAGCAGCACGAGGGGCAGAGGGAGGGAAGGGCAGTTGCAGCACAATAATCTCGTTCCTCTAATGAGGAGACAGTGCAGCTGCACAACACAGAAAGCAAAAGACAGGCAAGCAGGTACACATGCACATGGTTACCCAGCAGACGTCCAAGATGCAACACCGACACCTGGGACGTGCCCGGGGCAGGGAGACGGCTGTCAGGGCACAGAGCCTGCTGGAGATGTCCCGTGGCAATGAGCCACCCAGGAGCCCCACCCAGGACCAAGGTGATGCTCCCAGAGCTCTTGGCTTGCTCCCAGTCCCCGGAGAGGTAAAGGGAAAAGCAAAACACCAAAGACTGCATCTCCCATCCCACAGCACCCTGGGCACACACGGAGGTACCAGCACAGATGGGCCACCGCCACCCCGTACCTGCACTCGGTGACACTACAGCAACAGCTCCCACTGCGCCGGCCCTGACGCCCGGAGCGCAGCTCCATCCTCGACTTCCTCAGGCTGAAGTACTCCGTCAGCTTCCCAAACGAAGCCATGGCCCCCGCGGCGTCCGAGCGCACACCCGCCTGTGTCCCTGGGCGCCGGTCCCGCCGCACGCTCATGCATGCTACACCCCGGCTGCACTCGCTACCCCACGCGCTCCCTCAGCCCGCAGGACTGGGAAGGGAGCGCTGCGAGTCAGAGAGAGGGAGACAGCACCAGACGGGAGGAGTTCAGCCAGGAATTACTTGTTGGACAGTCCACAGCGCGCTCCACGGCGATCCCTCAAATTTCGAGGGTAGGAAGCCCTGCCTCCCCAAACCAACCGCAGGCGCCAGGCTGCACGAGAGCAGCTGGCGTCTGCATGCTTATTTAGTGTGATGCTGCAGAGCTGAATTAAGGAGGAGGGGGAAAAAAAACATAATGCCCGCTGGCCCCCACAGCACAGGGCTGCTTGGCAGGTGAGGGAGCTAGCATCTGGGGAGGTGGCCCAGGGTGGCTGTGGTGGCCCTCGGCCAGGCGAGGGGATGCTGTCTGGATCAGAAGGTGATGAGAAACTCCCAGAAATTGGCTGTTCAGATGAATTTCCAAGGGGTCTGTTCTTACGGCATATGAAGATGAGCACAATAGACAGAGAGGATCCCCGCTCGCTCTTCTTGCAGCTATTCAGAGTCCAGGTTTCCTCCCTCCCTGTTTTCCAAAGCAGAAGGCACCCCTTAGCCTCCAGCAGCACCCACCTAACATGATTTTCCAGCCTGTCACCAAACACCTGAGCACAAGGAGAGGGACAGACATTTAAAGCACACAAGTCTGATCCAGTCAGAGGTCACCTGCGGGCTCTGCTCTGCGGGCTCTGCTCCCCAAGCTCCAGCACAAAGCCTTTCTACAGCAGGCAGAAGATAAAGGGATGCTGCGGACCTGGAGGGAAATCCTACTGACAAACCTCCCCTAGGCAGGAGCACTTGTCTCTGTATCCTCAGTGCCTGACGCCAGCTGGGCGGAGGGAAAACAAGGGCTTCAAAAAAAATCTCGCAACAGCCCCACGGAGCAAAGCCAGATTAAGTCAGTGAAGCACGTCCAGGGGTAGGGGTGTCTGACAGCCAACTCACAGCCGTGCCAAGAGACCCTCAAGGAAACAGCAAAGAAAACCTGTGTTAACTCAACTAGCAGAGCAGCAAGCTACCTTCACATCCTTTTGATCCCTCTGTTGTGGATGCCATGTTAAAAAATAAACAAAACCCCATTCATAGCTATTTCCCTGCTTAGAGCCATCCACTGCAAGCAGCCTGCTCACAACAAGGGACGACCATTCGCTACCAGAAGCCTGCTGCGTGCCTTGCCGAGCCCCTCTTCCCTCCTCCCTTATTTTTTTCCTTTTCCTCTAGGCTCTGCTTCACCTTCCCACTCCGAATTAAACGCCGAAGCAGGCGGGTACGCCCCACGGAGCACCAGCCCCACAGCCCACGGGCACCCGGGGGGCTGCTCGCCCCCGCTGCCTGCTTGTGACTCGGAGAGCAGCCGCCACCATCCCTGCCCACTGCTCTTTGGGGGGGCTTTTAATTTGTTTGAACAGTCCCCACTCCCTGCCTCCCCGCTCCGGGCGCTCACATTCATCCCAACGAAACCGAGGGAACCGGCGCAAACCTGCACACAAAGCAGGGGGCTGGCGATGCACTGGGGGGGGTCTGCAGCCGTGGGGGACCCTGCCAGCTCCTCCACTGGGTAGCTACACGGTCCCCCAGCACCTTCTCCCTCCCACTCACACATCGGAAGGGCAGAGCTTGGAGTCGCTTCCCTCTTACAGCCAGGGAAAATAAAGCTGTCTACCCGCTGCTCCACACAGCCGCCCCCCTTCGTCTCCCACCTTCTCCCTCCGAAGGGCTCCACCGCTGCCAGGGAGGGGTCCAGGGTGCTTCCTAAAAATCGAGTCCTTTGCGGAGAGAGGGCTGAGGCAGAGCATCCACTCGCTGGCTCTTTCAGGCGCAGCGTGAGTCGGTAACACTGTCACCCCTCTTATCTCTCATCAGCTCCCCGTTACCAGTCGCAGTGAAATGCAACACGTCAAAGGAGGTCAGAGGAGCCGGAGGAGAGCGGAGGGGGCTGTCGGGAGGCAGCGGAAAAGCAGCTGAGGGGGACACCAGGCAAGTGGGAGGCAGAAGGGGACAACTCTTGCTTCTCTGCCATAGAGGAAAAGGCATAATGCCAGCGCTTCCAGAAGCAGCTGGGTTAAGGCACACACATGCCTTCGGAGGAGGCTAGCAGCGGTTACCTGGCAGAGGTGATTTTATCTGCTCCTGAGCTATGCAAAGGCAACAGGAAAGCAGCTGGACTGTGCAGCCGGAGGAACGGAAAGGATAAGCGGGGTTAATTTGAATCCCTCTCTTCTCCTTTTCCTCCGCACCACCCGATGGGAGGGCAGAGGAGCAGCAGTGCTGCCCTGGGATCCTCCTCTGGCATTTGCAAAGCAGAATTGTCTGGGGACAAAAGGCCAGTTTGGAAGACTGTAGAGAAAGCAGCAGGAGGGTAAGACAGACTGAGGGACACACACTCCAAGGAGAAAGCCAGCCTTCCCCAGCACCCCGGCTGCGTGGGGGACAGCCAGGGATAGCCCACACTTCTGCAGTCCCCTCCCTGACTGGGTAGGCAGGAGACACAGCTCTTCGCAGGAGAGTCAGGCCTCCTGTAAGGCTGTCAAACTTGCATTGAGCCCAACGGTGTTGGCACTTGGAAAACAAACAGGAGGAAACTCTGCCATTATGAAACCCCATGTCTGGGTAGCTGGGGGTGGTGGGATTCAAGGTACCAATGCCTGAAAGCTCAGACAACTCCATAAGCACCTCCATCTGTGATCAAAAAATGATACTCCAGAGGGGATTGCTGCCCCACAGCCATCCCCTCAGTGCATCCCAGTCCCCTGGACCAGGCTCACCAGGGACCCATCTGGCTGGAAGCACAACCAGCACTGGGGCAGAAGCAGCACAAGCTCCCACAACTCTACTCTGCGTTTTAGTCTCTGCTTTCCCTCTGGTGACTTGGGGCAAGGGAAAGGCTGTGTCCTTTCCTGCAAGGCAAAGGAACAGCCCTCAGGCCCTTCCCTGCTCAAGGAATGGCTTGGTCAGCCCTTCCAGATAGGACTGTCACATGAGTCCGTCTCCCAGAGGAGCTATGTGCCTTTTATTAAGCAGTAGAGGCAATCTGCTGAGATATTGCTGAAATATCTCTAATTTCACATTAACAATCTGCTGTCGTAGGGTTTGCAGCCATGTACTCAGTGATGCAAAAGTAAGCTTCCCACTTTCACTTAATAGTAGAATGAAACACTTCATAAGTGAAACAGTATTTTAATTTGCAGGATACATAAACTGATTTTTAAGAGGAGCTGTGGAGGAGACTGTTAAAGCAGAAATCAAATTCTATACAGTGCTGGGGCCTTCTGTGTTGGGGTAACGCAGAGCACTGCTGCACACATTGCCACCGCTGGGCAGCCATCACCGAGGCATTTGTACAAGCATCTCACACCTTTGTCTGCAGACATTTTGGAGGAAAAAAAAAAACAAGTCATAAACATAACCGTGTGGTTGTCTGGGTCCATCTCACACATTCCTGTACATATGCTTGTTCAGGCCAGAGAGACAAGCATTTCCCATTTCAAAACTCTCCAAACACAGTGAAGCCATCACAGACATAGGAACGGGAATCAGTCCCAGCTTGCAAACAACCACGACACTTCTTCAGGCAGAAGTCCTAACAGCTACCTCACAAGAACCTTGTCCTAGGGCTGCCCAAGGGCAGCAGACTGGAAAGCATCTCTGCCAGGTCCCCTGCCCAGCCAGCACGACAAGATGAGCTGGATGGCACTGGAAGGTGGCCCTTCCACCATCGCTGGGAGACTCCTTGCAGCCTCCAGTCACTGTGCTCCTGAGCCCTGGGCGAGCAAACTGTATCTTGTTGCATCTTTGTGGCTTCCTCGGGCAGCTTTTTTTCTGATTACACTTCTCAAGAGTGGCTAGGCAGAAGCAGGGAAGGGAGGAAAAGGGCATTCTTCAGAGCTGACAACTTCTCTGTCTGCTCCTACAGTGCTGGAGGACTCTGGCCCTGTTTCTCCAGGGCTTCACTTTTGCACCTCCACGCCAAGACTGCTCAACATAAGTTAAACACACCTGCTCTCCCAGGCCCTGGTTCCTCTGGGGAGCTGCATCCCCAAGAGCCACTCATCAGCCCATGCAGAGCGATAGCTGCTCCTCCTCCAGCATTGCTTTTAGCAGATCATCCCTCCCCACGGGACAGCTTAGGTGACACTCACAAGTACCAACCTCCCCGTGTCTAGGAAGTAGGTAAGACAGAGTTAAGCCATACTGGGAGTCAGCCACTCCATTTCTACCAAAATAGCAACCCTTTGGCTGTTTCAAGGCTCCCTTTCCATGTAACCCTTTCCCGGTGTGTCTGATACCTGGAGAGCAGCAACTGCTGCCTCTTTCGAGGTCCTCCAGCAATGTGGAGGATGGAGTCCAGCAGGATGCCTAAGTGGAGTCCCAGACAGCAGGTTAAAAATTAGAGCTGTGATGACAACAACAGAACAGTCTAGAAAAGCAGCAAGCCTGGCCAAAGGAGGAGCCAGAGCTTGAACAGCTGATCAGGGACAGAGCCTGGAGCAGAAATCTATGTGCTCGCCCTGAGATGTCCTGTGGCCAAAGGGCAAGCTTTCCCAAAGCTCAAGGAACAAGGAACAGAGGAACAAGGACTATGTGTGCCCTGGTACCCCAGTTCCCATCTGCTGTGGTCAGAGTTCCTCTCCCCCAGAGGGAAAAGCATCTGCTGAGATCCCCAAAACAGAGGGGAAGCTTCATAATCCCCCAGGGAACAGCTGTGCCTTTGGGTCATGTTGGAGAGGATTTCTCATGAGCTGCTTTCTAGTGCCAGCTGGGGAGATACCAGCTTCTCCACATTACCAGCTGAAAGCACTATTGGGACTTCAAGGGGTTTCTGAGGCAGGAATTTCCCAAATTGCTGAAAATTGGACACTGACGTCAGACATCATCTCCTTATCAAGCCTCTCTATGAAGTTCTGAGCACTAACTCTTGGGGTCTAGAAAGAAAATCTTCCACCCTGTTTTAAATACACACACACAGTGACTGAGCCCCCATTTTTCACAACCAGTTAACCTAGCGTACCAGAGTGCCATCAAATTTTGCAGAAGAGTTATAAAAATAAAAGGGGAATATATTATTTCACAAGATGATCAAAACCATTTATCACCATGTACACACAAAGAAACACGTTAAATGCAAGTATGAACTGATTTAAGAAATAGATGCACAAGAGACTACTAGCAACTTTTAGATGTCCCTAAAGG